TGAATAAAGCAAGTGACCTTTTTCAGAGGAAATGGGATGATAGCTAATTATTCTATTTATGTTGAAGGGAAACTCTCATTTTCTTTAAATGTCTCAGTAAGGGAACTTTCAGAGCAGTGCTTTGTTCTCCAGTTTGGCCTAAGACAATGCAGATGGTTTAATTTGAGATTGTGCTTGGCACAGGTAATGATAGAAAGAATATTCTCTGCAGATTAAAGCCCATATTCTTCAGACTTGCTTTTTCAGCAATAAAGGTAATATCTGAATATTTATCTCTTCCATTTATGGGGCACACGAGTGGTACAAAGTTGAGGTTTATAAATGACAATTGTTTATCAACTCTAATACTTCCAAACATGATAACACAAATGGTATAGTTTCTAAAGTACCGTTCAAAGGCAAAGCAGAGCAGTAGAACAGTGGCACTTGGTCTGAGGTGAGAGAAAGCCTCCTTCAACTCCATGATTGCTAGGGCCAGGCTCCATCCTTATAACCTTCTATAGAGCTGAACATGAAATGTGGGGCCAGGGAACCCCTGCTCGAAACAGTAGAGAGAGAGATGGGAAAAGGTTCAAAGGGAGGAAGTATATAAAAGTTTATCATAGATAACAGATTACTCTATGCAGATAGAATATTCTTTCCCAGAATTTTTGATGAAATTTGTTTTTGTTGTTTTCTTGCAACCATGCAATGATCTGGTGTCTTTTTTATAGAATAATAAATAACAACCCATTTGCTTCTGTTGTCATGGCTGTTTTTATACATATTAGGTCACCTGTAAATTGAGCTTACAGTTATATTTAGGCTCTGTCCAATATGTATGATTTTATATGCACATAACCTTTCTCTATATTTCTTCTGCAGAATAATTTTATGGGTCTGTGACTATAGCTGAATGATGCATGTATGACAAATTTAGTGATTTAAGAAAAATGTGGTCTGTGCAATCAAAAGAGAATTTTGACAGGTGATATAAAGATATTGTAGAGTTAGGAGGCAATGTAGCGCACTAAAATAAGAACTAACTAGGCTCCAATCCTGGCACTATCACTTGCAAACTGTGGCTATAGGCAAGTCATTTCTCTTTTATAAACCTATTTTTTTCTCATTAGCAAAATGACAATAGTAGGTAGTATTACCTTACTCAAAGATGCTCTTGAAAATTAAAGGATTTAATGTTTGTGAAAAAAAAAAGCAAACAACAACTGGCTTTATACTTAGTTTCTGGATTTCAATATGAATTTTGCTTTTAGCTTAAATTATTTTGGGAATAATTAGCTTTATCCTACCCCGACTATTTTTTTTTCCTTGCAACTAAATGTGAGTCTTCCAAGGAATGAAGTTAGAATGTCTTTCATGACATGAGTGTGAGGACAGAGTATTTGCATGCTTTGTTTGATTTGGAATTTTAAAGCTCAATCAGGAATTAAGGTAAGCACAAGGAAGGAGCTATTAAGGAAACTGGAAAGGAATAGCAGACAGTTCTGGAATGTGGCAGCCCCTGTTTGATTTTAAATGTAAGTTAAATATTAATTTTTCTTAAAAAAAAATCTTCTTCCTCCAGGGAGGCCTTTTTCTCTCACTCTCTTATGTTGACAGATTGTTGGTGGATTGCCGTTCACACTGACTTATTTGGAGGAAAAAAAGTCTTCAGATGATCTTATTTGCGTAAGAAAAAAAAAATCTTCAAAACAACTCCCTTGTCGCCAGCATCAACAGCAGCTGAACACGGGTTGGGTTGTTGCACAGTGAGAATTATCCCTTTCATTTCAAAGGAATCAAAGACATTTGGGGCAAGCAAAAGCCCTGGTTTACGCATGATCAAAATAAACTAATATCAGGTTTGCTTACCCTAAGTGTTGATTCAAGCTAATACTGAAGTCCGAGTATACTTTTCATTCTTTCTATGAGGATTATGTAGAAAAGAGAAAAATCTAAAAGTCTAAAAAGCTGAGCTGATTTGGAGAAATTAAAAGCATTTGAAGATCTTCTCTTTGTCTGAATTCCTTTCTGCTGATAGTTCCCTAAAACAAGGGGGCAAAATGAAGCTGTTGACTTGTAAACAGAAGTCGAAAGGAAATTCAAGCTTCTGTCAAGACTCATTCCAAATACAATAAACAGGAAAATGATTGGATCCCTTTTAAAGTTTTTGGATGGGATCTCTTGTGCTTTGGCTGTTCTTTGAATTCGTAAAGAATGGGGAACAAAAGTGAAATTTTAGGTTCCCAATTCCTATCTATCTTAGCAGAAACTTGAACATTTCATGTTTCCAACAGCACTTTTCTCAAATCATAAACTTCTTTCTTTCATGTACTTTTCTTTCTCTTAAGAAAAAGAAGGAATTCTCAAAAATATTATCACCCAGTTCTCCATGACATTTAACATAAATATTTTTAATAATAAAGCACCTTCTCCTGCCGCTGCCTATCTGTAAGTTTCCTCATTTATAAAATGAGGGGATTGGACAAGGCTTGCCGTGCCACATTCTGTTCTGTACTGGGTTCTTCAAGTGTCCAAATTTGGAACTATGGACACTGAAGCCTGTAATTCTTTTTTGCAGGGAGGCTATTCTGCATTATGGGACAGTCAACACCACCCTTTCCTTGTACCCCACCAGACACCAATAGTATGAATGTTACTTCCCCCACACCCTAATCGACAATCACAGATATCTCCAGACATTTTTATATCTCTAGGTGGGCAAAATAACTCACAGTTGAGAACTACTGCTTCAAGTCACTAAAGCAGTGGTTCGTAAACTCTGGTAAATATCAGAATCTCCTGAGAACTTGGAAAAAACATAAAGACCTAGACTTGATTCTATTTCAAAATGCCAGGGCCTCTCTGTGTTTCTCTGTGTTTTTTAAATAATTAGATTTTTTTTATGTAACACAACAAAACTAGGCACTCTAAAATGGGTTCCAGTTAGCTGTCTAAGAAATGAAACAGCTATCGATGAAGTGTATTCCTGGCACATCGAGTTCAAGAGTGCAAGAAACTATTGGAAACTGTGTCTTTCCACACAGTAGGTCGATTGGGCAGAGTGTGACTAGAACTTAACATCTCTGCACTGAATGGTTCTTATCACCATATGACAATAAACTTTTTGGTAGTCATAAACTTTTTGATTTGGTCCAGCCTTAAAAGGAAAGTAAGATTGACCTTCCTGTGGAAGAGAGATCTGAAGAGATGACACAAAGCCCTGTCTACTCTCATATCTCTGACTCATGAATACTCCGTGGATCCTGGAACTCCAGTTCTTAGACTTACTCCTTGGAATGAGGCATTTTCTCTAAACCAATGGTTTTCAACCTTGGCTTCACACCAGCGTCATTTGGGAACTTCTAAAAAATCCCTAGTTTTGAGTCATATCCCAAACCAATTAAAGCAGAATATCTCAGAGCAGGAACCAGGAATTAATACTTTAAGTACCTTGGATCTTTGTAATGTTCAGGAAAAATTGGCATACTAATTAAAGGCTTTCCCTAAAATCAAACAGGAGTTTTGCAGAAGGAAATAAAATGATGGTAAGATATGCAAAAAGGCTTGACCATTCAGCGCCACTTTGGAAACCAGCAGGATATTTGTGTGGCTGAGGCATCATAGGCTTTTGACTATATGCAGATAGATGATATAGAAATGTTTCTTAATGTAGAGATAAAATATAGCAAGGCATTTGGGTACTCTGCCCACAGTCCCACAGTAGTACTTTCTATCCTAATGTGTTTTCAAAACTTTCCACAAGTAGATTGATAACTCTAGACTGCAGTTATCTGAAAACAGAAAGGATCCCTAGAGAAAAAGTCTGGGCAGATGATGCAATTCTGGAACCCTGAATATCCAAGGAATTTAGTATACCTTCAGTTCCAAACTGAAGCTTGTCTATCAGTAGGATGAGACAAATTAGTGAGGTTTGGTAGAAAAAAAAAATAATATGAACATAATTCTTTAAAGTTGCATAGGTGGGGCTAGTCATTGCCAAAGTTGTCAAACCCAACAAAATGAATGAAAGGATGAACAAGAAACTCTGGCAACCTTCTCAGTGGTCACACAGACATTTTCAGGGAAATTGAGATCAACTGAATGTTATATGTGGTCTTTTCCCATTGCCCTTCTTCCACTCATCATCCAAATGGCAAGAGACTTTGGTGAAATTCCACAGGCATTAAGAGACAAAAGGAATGCTCCCAGGAAGCAGGCTGGAATCCAGGCCCAGCACATAAGCTTTCAGAGAGTGTGCAGCCAAGGGACAGGAAAGAGGGGGCACACCTCCTCTAAACGGGTATTTATGATAGAGGAGAAGCCAAGGAACAGAAACACCTCCAGCTAGTTTCTTGGAGTCTGGCAGCTATTTCTGTCAGCTTTCCCATTCCTAGTTTGATGCTCATTGCTTAAGTTCTGGAGGTACTAGATTTATTAAAATGACTCTTTGTCCAATTAGTACAAGAATTTATATCTGATTATCATTTGACATGTGGACGTTTGTCAATTTTAAGAGATGAGGAAACTGAGGCTCAGTAACTCAAGGTTACACAGCTGGGAAACTGACAGAGGCTGAGGATTAAGTACAGTTTCTCCTTTCCAGCCATTCTCATTCTCGTTCCTGGAATGCAGACACAGAAGTATTGTGTTTATTGTTCTTTATTGCCCCAGTCCACAAACTCACACATCCATACAAAGTGGGATGAGAAGGCAAAAAACAGATCTCCCCACCCCACCCGCCAAGGTTGAACCCAAGCTTTGATCCCAAAGGTCCAAAGGTTCCTTTGCCACACATCAGCTGCATAAACTTTGGCAAGTCACTTTTCTTTTCAAGCAGAAGGACCCTGCAGACTGTAAGATCATGTACACATTCCAGAAAATGACTAAGACCCGAACCTCACTAAAACATTTTTTTTTTTTTAACTCTAGAAAAAAGAATACCGGCTTCTGCAACCTAGAGGAGAACCCACGTGTAAAGCTCCTCCCCCGGGTTTGGCCTCAAGCGGCGCTAGCCCTCTGCCTGGCACTTGTGTGCGGCCCCAGTCTGGCAACCCCGCGGCTGCGGCTGGAAAGCCTGGGAGCGCGGCTTGCGGAGGCTCGGGCAGCAGGAGGAGCGTGTGAGCTGTAGGCGTCCCTTTAAGAGCGGCGGGACGGGCAGAGCCTCCGCCTCTCTGTCCGAGGAGCGCCGGGCGGTCACCTGGGGCTGTCGGGCAGCCAGATCTGGCTGCGGTACTGGCGCGCTTGCCTGCGGAGTTGGAGACGGACTCCGTCGCGAGGTGCCGCGGAGCCGCCTCGCAGCGGCTCGCTGCTGCGGAAGATGCAGGAGCGCATCTGGGCGTCGCTGCTGCTGCTGCTGCTGCTGCTACCGCCGCCGCCGCTGTGTGGCGGCCCCCCGGACAGCGGGCGCCAGGAACTAGAGCCTGAGCGCGGGCCTCTGCAGCCCTTCGACCTGCTCTACGCCAGCGGCGTGGCTGCCTATTACAACGGGGACTACGAGCAAGCAGTGCGCGACTTGGAATCGGCGCTGCTTAGCCACCGGCGCCTGCGGGAAGTCCGCACGCGCTGTGCCCGCCACTGCGCCGTGCGCCGCCCTCTCGTGCCCCCCGGTGCCGGCCCCGGGGCCGAGCTGCCCTTCTTTCGCGCCTTGCTGGAGCGGGCGCGCTGCTACCGCAGCTGTGAGAGCCAGCGCCTCGGGGGACCCGCGTCCCGACACCGCGTCAGCGAGGATGTGCGCAGCGACTTTCAGCGCAGAGTGCCCTACAACTACCTGCAGCGGGCCTACATCAAGGTACCCTGGCGCTGGCGTTTCCACACCTAACGCCCCCTGTGGCTCTCAGATGTGCTCTTGAGTCCTCGGGTTATCTTGGTATTGCACTGCTTTGCAATCTTTCAGAGTGGATTTCTTAAGCATCTGTCTCATGTTTATGAATCTTGACATCTATCAGCCCAAACTTTGTAACCAATACTAGATGAACTTGGGCAAGTCTTTCTTTGACTCTTCCTCTCTCTAAACATTAATTTTACTCTCAAAAAGAGGGCTGTACTGATTGGATAATATTTAAAGCACTCATTTAATACAGCTGGGTCTATAATAAGCTTTCTTCTCAAGAATCATTCTTGGTATATACACATTCCCATCTCTGTCTCCTCTCTCTCACCAGTACTATACTCCAGTCTGCATCTTTTCTGGTAAGTTTAACAGAGTGTGTTTTCAAGATAGCAGAGTTAAAAGTAAATGTGTTCCTAAACAATTTCCCCCCCCCCTCTCTTTTCTATAAAAAAGTAAAGTTCCAGGTTACAGAGAAGAAATGCTAGGGGGAGGTGAAGCTCTGAGGGACTATCTCATTAAAATTATCCACAAGTGCTGATTTTTTTTCTCCTTTGATGGAAGTCTTCCAGTTCCTGAAGTTTTACATTGGACTGGATTACTTGACATCAGATGCCCAGGGTTCTTATCTTTGTGTACTTAATATCCATGAAGTTAGTGTTGGGAGGAATACACTGTAAATTGGTCTTATTTCCCACATCCACAATTTTGAAGATCTGGATGCTTCAGCAGAGAGAATTTAGAATGAATTCCTCACACCTGCCCACTCACCCATGTTACTCCAAATTTAAACAATTTCTCCCCATTCCTGACTTTTTGTTTCAGTATAGCAAAATCTTTTCCCAGCTATTGGAGGAGGGGCAGCTCAGGGGGTTGATTGGTATTGCTACAAATGGACCAGGCTGCATTTCTAAGGAGAAGAAAATATACATCATGTTCCAGCATTGACATGCCTTTAGCATTGACATGCCTTTGAAGCTTATCCCACAGGTCTATGTTGTCACTTACAACCGTCAGAGGAGTTATGAGGTCTCAACTGAGACTTTTACACTCTCAATGTGTTGTTTGTAGCTTAGGTCCCGGAGCTCACTAGATTAGTGCCTTGGGCAGGAAAGGAGAAGAAAGCCCAAATGCTTTCCAAGACTTGTCTCTTACTTGCTTGTGCCTCCTATTGGATTTGCTAAGACATACATAAATTATAATCCTCCTTTCTTTTAAGTGCATGGCAGTTTAGAATGGTCTTCCAAAAACCAGTCAATTCTGGACAGAGAGGGCATCTTGAGTACCTGACAGCAAAGAGATCCCCCCAGCAGAATATGGGTTCTGTAGAATGGTCTTCCAGGAATTCTCAGAAGTGAGAGGTTGGCCATCTTGCTGATGATTTGTTCACATGTATTGGACAAATTTTCCTTTCTCAGATCTGGAGAAGGAATGCATATTCATGTTTGGGCATATAAAAATAAATATGAGGTAAATGTCAATATGTGGGTTTCTTTGGTTCTATAATTATGTTTGCTACACTATGAATGTTAACATTTGTCAGCCAGTCCCGAGCTCCTGTACCCTGGTTGGAGGTCAAAGAAGGTGAAGACATAGATTTAACAGGACTCAAACATTTGCAATTAATAGTTTATAAGATCAAGGCACACATGGGCCCTGTTGTGGTTGTAGTAATGGGCATTGTCTGATGAACCAATGATGTTGAAGAAATCCTTTCATAAATATTTGACATCATCTGTTCATTTATGCTCTACTAGCAATATTTCTAGGGGCAGAAGCAGGCTTCCATTTCACCTCCACTCCAATGGGCAGAGTCTCTTGGTTGCACATAATTGATAATCTCCTAAGAAGGAAATATTTTTATTCATTTGGAAATTTGTTTTGTATGGCTGGAATTCGTTAACATCTAAAAAATGCTTCATCATAATTCTTTCCTCACCCGCATCCTCTAAAAATTCTACAATTTTAGTTTTTGCTTGCTGTCCAGAGGACTTTACTCATAAAAACAATATGTACCAGCATTTGAGACTAAAACAAACCTCAGAAATGTAAATTCTCAGGCTTTGACATATCTGGGGTGTTCACTCACTGATAGGATGAGTTCCTTACACATACTTGGGTCTGATCATGGTGCCTTGTATTGTTGAATTACTTTTGCCATCAGTGATCTGGTTTGTAGTTAAAAGTATAATCCTAGGCCAAATTGAATTCAGTGAGGATTAGAAGTCTTCATAGAGCTAAAAAATACAGTTATTTTTAGCTAGGAAGTTTACAAACTGCAGAAGGTCTTAGGAGTTATTGCTTCTCCCCAAAATCATGGTTACTGAGCCACCAATGGAAACAGATTCTTTATGCTGGTATGTTGGAAATGAAGGATTGAAAATTGTGATATTGAGACTCATGAGTGAGATTTCTTTTTGCACAGCAAGTAATTCCCAGAAAAGGAAAGGAGCTTACTCAGTGTCATGTCTGTGGTAGCAGAGCAGTCTGAGTTGATGCAATGAGCATGGGCCTGGGAGTTAGGAACGCAGGCTCTGCCAATAGATACTGGATCCAGTGCTTGCCCTGCTATGCCGTCAGCTGGTGGGATCGCCTCAGGTTCCAAAGGATGCTGCATTCCCCAGGGCTCTCCTTATGCCAGATTTGGACAGCTCCAGGGATGAGTTGAGTAAATCCTTGTCCTGTCTGATTACAGACAACACTTTTCTCTGAAGGCCTGCTCCATAGACTCTTCCTTGAGGCCTGGCATGTTGGGAATTTGCCTGAACAGTTATGAGGCAGCAGTTCTGCCTGGCTCCTAGCCGCACCCTTTTGGTGTATGTGTTAAGGCAGGGTGAAACTCTTCAAACTTTTGATTTTATCATTTCAGATTATAAGATATAATTCATGCTCCATAGCCTTAAACCTAAAGAATAGCTTTTATTGTAGTTTCTGCTGAGAAACGCTCAGTAATTTTCCCTTACTACTAAACAACGCCCACATAGTTTAATTCAGCTTCAGTTCCACTCAAATTCCCCAGTTCTATCTCCCCCAACTCTGCTACCTTCCAGCCAAAGGGAACAGCATATGAATTTCTTGCATCTTTTGTCCTTATTATTCTTCTTGAGAAGCCTGCAGGCTCTGGATTAGGATAGATAAGAGACTAAACTAAGGTCTACCTTCTCCAATCTAGCTGCATGACTGTGAATACAGTACATAAGCTTTTTGAGCTTTAGTCTTCTTATCTGCAAAATGGGGAAATAATAGGACTCCTTGCATGGTTTAGGTTAAGTTTAACAGATGACTGATGTCAAGTGCCAAAAACAGGGCCTGTTCCCAGCAAACATTAGATATGTGTTTATTCTTATTACTAGTTACTGTGGTAGCTTTTCCTCTTTCTTCTTTACATGTTCAAATCATAACTATCCTAACATAAACATACCTATCTCTATGAGGCATTTGTTCCTCTTCTCTCATTTTTTTTTTCATTTTTAACATTACTTTGGGAAAATTGGTATATCTGTTCTCAGTTATGTGAGCTCCTTGAAATCAAGAATGACCTTAGTTATTTTTGCATCTCGAAAGTAGGGACTCCCAGATCTGGGTGATTATTAGATGGAACTATTATTTGTAATATCTGGGGCATTAAATATGATTTAAAATTAGTGCTTTATTAGGGTCAGTAGGTCTCAGTTGGATCATCAACAACCATATTCCTTCCAAATATCTCAGCTGGGATCGTAGGTGTAAATACTCAATATTGTGTGTGGAATGAATCATAGCTTGGTTCTATTTTCATGAAATAGTGTTAAAATTTCTGTGTGGTGGCAGAAAGTTTTTATTACATCAATTGTGTGGATTCCTGGCTGGTTAATTGGGAGAGAAAGTTACAGGAGTGTGGACTGTGGACATCTCACTGTTTCCTTCTTGCAAGTTCTGGCTAATGTGGCAGTCTCCTGCCTATCCTCTCCAGGTTGTTTTTCTTTTCTTTTTTTTTTTTTTGTATTTTAGTTCATATTATTTAAAACTGTGCTTCAGAAAATCCTTGGCACATTTTACTTGTTTTATGTACATTTGTGGAATTTAAACAGATGTAAGAGAGAGATTTTCCTTTCTTATCTGTGTCCTTGATAATCATAAATTGTTTGAAAGTGTCTGCTCTTTTCTCCCCCTGTTGCTAGCCTTTTAAGAAAAACAAACAAACTGGTGGTGTTTTTTCCTTTTTTTTTTTTAACCTAAAGTTAAGCTTTCTCCTGCATGTTTTGTTGCTGTGTTGGTGTTGTGTTTTGTTATTCTTCTTGGGACTAAAAGGAGGGGAAAGAAGGAAATGGAATTTAGTCAATTCTCTCTCCCTCCCAGAGTCATCTTCCCCAAATCCCTTTATCTTGGCCATTATCAATTTTATTAGTTTTTGGTAGAAAAGAAAAAGGTAAACTTAGATTATTTCCTCACTCTAATTCTGCTTACTGACTGCTTTCGCCTTTCTAAAAGGAATGCCTTAAAAGAGAAATTGAAAACTCAGACAACTGTCTCACAGATCCTGTGTTGCTCCAGAAGCCCTAATTGAACTATTTTTACCTGTTTGTTGAATTATTTCAAATAAAAGTTGATTTTGTCTTCCTGAAATAGCTGTTCTGAAATTACTCTAATGGATATTTCCTCAGGAGATGAGACTTTTTTTCTCTCACACATAATTGAATCATCTTTGTGCTTGAATCATCAAAATGTACTAGTCACCTTATTATGTCCCACTCCTTGGAAAGGAAACCTGGGAGATGCTTTGTCTTGCCAGTTCTTGGGTCCAGTGTACCGGAAGCACAGTTGTTTCCTCATTGGGATTGTCCATCTGCGGGCTGGTCATCTCTTTATCAGTCATCCAGTTTCTTATAAATAGTAAGTGTCATGTAGGCTTGATTCAATTAGATGAGAGCAGCAAGCAACTGTCTCCACCCTTTTCCCGTTTTCTGCCAGAAGAATCAGGG